AAGGAGACATACAGAGCTGCGGTCTGGCAGCAATCCTCAGCGATCCTGATGGCACAGACAGCTTGAAGATTCTCAAGTGCTGGTAGGACTTAAGAATTAACCTAAAAATCAGCCCTGCTAGCCAGGGACTGCACAGAGGACTGCTCTGGTGGCTGGGGAATAAATGGAGAAGGTGAAGAGTAAGGTGGGCTGAGCTATGGACTTTTGCCAGTCCGGAGGACGCCACCATTTTGAAGGTCTAAAATCAGCTTGACTCTTTTGGATATTTAAAGAGACAGTGCTCTCACAGATTCCTGGGGCTTAAGAACATGTTCTGCTTTCCAGCAACCCCAAGGACCCACTGGATCTGCAAGACTGAAAAGGTACGACATTCCTCTTGTTACTTATACCCCACATCCGCTTGGTGAACGGAGGTGTGGCCATCCCCCACTCCCACCCACCTACTAGGCCCACAGGAACTCCATCACAGTCTGTGTGCTCAGACGGAGTCTGGGTGCCCTGCCTTGTCCTCCACCAATTTTTTTTTTATTTCTCTTTTTTTATTCTTATTTTTTTCTTTTTCACTTTCTTTTTCTGGTGATTAGTTTGCTTGTATTAGTGTGCTTTAAAACAACTATTATTATTTTCTGTCCTTTTTACTATTCTTCTTAATCTTCCCCTCCCAGGTCCTAGTTTTCAGCATTTTTTCTTCTCCCTGTTCCTGGCTGAAACTTCTTTTTTTTTTTAATTTAAGCTCCCCCCCGCTTTTTTCTCGTGCTTAACCTCACTCCTTATTTTGCATTTTTGCCATTTTTTTTTCCTTCATATGCCCCTTCTCTACTTTTTTTCTCTTAATGCCGTATCCCCAGATACTGCAGGTTTTCTTGTTTTCTATTCTTCTTTTTCCCTTTTTTCTTTTTTTGGTTACTGTTCCTGTGTGATTACATGGTGTGTATTTTGTCCATGTGCTTTTAGTTTTTTGAAGGTTATTCAATTGTAATTTGTGTCTAATTGAGTGAGAGACAACAACAGTCCCCATAAGACACAACTACACCCACACCTACTGCAACTTCCCTTACTGAGCGAGAACCACTACACCTCCTTCTCCACCAATGGGACAACGATAAAAAATCACCAAGAAGAGCCGGAATCACCCTTGACTGCTCTTCACAAAGAGTTAGCAGAGATCTAAATACAACAACACCATGATGCCTCTGAAACAACAGACCATCACAGTCCACATAAACAAGCAGGATAAAGTGGTAGAAACAAGGGAGCAGGATACAGACCCAGAACACATGCTTGAGGAAGAAGCAAGATTGGAACTCTCTGTTAAGGAATTCAAAAGAATTATCTTTAGCTTTTTTCAAAGGATTGAGAGACAGAATAAAGAAAACACAGAAAAAACCCTAAAAGAATTTTAGAAGAAAATACAAAAACAAAATGACAAATAAAATGAAAAATTAGAAATGATTCTAAATCTACAGATACAAATCCAGAATATTAATATGAAATTGTCAGAA